TGGCCAGGGCTCCCGGCAGCTGCCGCCCTGACAGACGGCCAGGGCAAGGTGCCCTCGGCAGGGCCCGGAGCCCCCTCCCTGGCTCACTGCCCGACTCTTTGGGAGCACGCTGACTCCGGAAGCGCCCTGGGTCAATGGGCAGGGCCGGGCCCTGGCCTAGAGCGCCTCCATCTGTCTCCGCCATTCGTTCCCAGCTCAGCCTCCAGGTCTCCGGGCTCCCCGAGGCCTGGTGATTAGTATTCTTATTAAAGATTATTTTATTTTCATTGTGCGGATTAATCTGGCCTTGACACGGTACAGCCATTTGGGTATTAGCCGAGCATGTGAGAACGCTCTGGGCTCTCAATCTAGGCTGGCGTCCTGGCCGGGCTGTGGGGCCTGGGGCGAGAGCTTCCTTTCCTGCCAAGTGGACGTGGACTGCTGACGACACAGAGTGGGGCAACAGCCAGTGCCGGCCCTGGGGGTGCGGCCCTGGGGGTGCGGTCAGATAGCGCGGGTCGGCTGAGATGCCAGCCGTACCTCTGAGGAAGGACCTGGCAGTTGGCCATTAGAAACCCCATGGGTCACAGCCACACATGGGCTCACCTCCAGCGAACAGCATCAGCCCCACCACCTCCTGGGAGCCCTGGTGCTAATAGGATCCCCATTCTGCAGATGAGCAGACTGAGCCCAGCAGGCTGCTGGGAGAAATGGCTGTGAGCAGAGCCACTCAGCTGAGGAGAGTGGGGCCGGGCTGCCTGCTCTCCAACGTCCACCCATCACTCACCACGTTGAGGTGGGCTCTGAATACACTTGCAGAATGGCGTCTGCCAGCCCCTCCCTGGTCCCCTCCCTTACTGCTCTGAAAGTGCCCAGAGAACAAGACCAGCACTTCTCTATCTTGGGTCGCCCCCACCTGGCCACACTAGGGGCGCAGTCAATGTCGCCCGAAGGAAGCGATGAGGGGCAGCCCCTGAGATGGCAGCATCATGGCTCCTGTAATTACAGCGGGGATTACTGTCATTCAGCTCAACAGCAGAGTCGACAAATATTTGCTGACAATGTGGAAACGTCTCCCAATGACACCTCCTGTGACGGCTTCCGCTCCTCTGTGCCAAGGAACAAGGGGGGTCTTAGGCTGGGCCTCCTGGAAGCGGGGGGAGGGGACAAGGTCATAGCATGTCCACAGAGTCCCTATGACTCTGAGCTCCCAGCCCTAGGCCCAGCCCCCAGTCAGGCCTGAGTCCCCCTGGGAGTTCCCGGAGATGGGAGGAGACACCTCAAAACTGGGACACTTGCTCCCTAACTCCCCAACCTCTAGGCACCTTCTGACTCCGCCCACAGCCATTTCTCTTGATTTCAGGCTGTCTTTCAAGTTGGAGGATTTCCCAAATGAACCTGGTTTTTGTCTTTTACGGTGCCGATACAGGATCACCAAAGAGCACCTGCTCTGTGTCCTTGTGAGCTGTGGTCTTCCCACTCGAGCTTCTAGCCTGGGGTTTGGCGGGGGTCCAGCAGGCTGCTCAGCCTGCATCTGGGCCACCTGGGTCTCTAGTGTTCTCACCCCACCAGGGGCCCACGATGCCGCCCGCTTGGCTGGAAGCCCCACCCACACCGGCAGAGCTGCCCGCCAGGCCCTGGGCACTGGGGGTGAATGAAGGCCTCTGCCCTGCCTTGGAGGCAGTGAGTGTGGAACTCCGATCTTCCTTGAGGACATCTGGGTTCTGTCCCCAAGAGCGCACTGCCCGTGCAGCTACCTCCTGCCTGGCGCAGGCGGCGCCTGTGTTCTGGTACTGAGCAGATTTCAGACGAACTTCCAGACTGAAATAGACTAGGAAGAAAGGCCTGCTTCCGAAGGCCAGCTAGGGAAAGCCCTCTGGGCCACATCAGCCCCACCCAGCTGTGCGTGAGGCCAGCCACTTGAAGGTTACTAATCACAGCAGTGGATCGAACCCTGGTGGCACTGTTGGTCAAGCGTGGGCCTGCTAACTGCAAGGCTGGTGGTTCAAACCCACCAACTGCTCATTGGAAGAGAGATGAGGCTTTCTACTCCTATACAGCGTTTCAGTCTTGGAAAGCCATAGGGTTTCTTGGTATTTTATTTTATTTTATTTATTTATTTTTAACATTTTATTAGGGGCTCATACAACTGGCATCCCAATCCATACACACATCAGTTGTGTAAAGCGCATTTGTATATCGTTTCTCAAAACATTTTCTCTCCA